AGATATTAACCATTCTTTAACTTGTTTTCTACTAACATCTATACCTTCTTCTAATGCTTTCTGATACAACCGTTCTGCTGATTGATATCCTGTTTGTGGATTATAATAAATATCTCTTAAACTTTGCTCAATTTTAATGTCTTCATCCATTTAACTTACTCAAGATAACATTCAAGTAAAATACTACCTACATTCACAGGATCACCATCTTGATCTAATATATTAAATAATAGCTCGTTAAAAGCTCCTTTTATAATTCTAACTTTAGATTCAATATCGTTATATTCGTATAAATTACCAAATAACGACTGAAGTGTTATTACTGGTAAAGTTAAAGCTATATTACTTTTTTTTCCTTCAGGGTTATAATTATAACTTGAATTTACAATATTAGAAGAAATTTGAATATAGTTTAATCCTCTGTTTATATCCACTTTAGAAACACCATTTTGTATGATACCTTTTTTAATAGTTTTTATAGTATCATTAAAGCCTAACATTTTAATAAGAGTATCAGACAATACTAATATCTCATCATTATTATTAGTTATTTTACAAGTTCCATTGTTTTCTACCATCTCAAGCTTTACATTAACAGACTCAAGAAACTTTTTAAGCATTTTAAAAGTCCAGTAACCAGCATCTATATTATATTTTGTTGTGCCTATTGTAAAAGCTAAAGTATTATTTAATTTTATATTTTTATATTCCCAATACACATAAGCTTTTTTAATATATAAATATGAATAGTTAGTTGTTACTATACTTTCTTGTAAGTTAATTTTTTTACGATCTCCGTCTATAAAAACAGTGAACTTCATATATAATATAGCTTATATTATATGTCAGACAAACAAATCGAAGAAAATGCTATAAAATTAAGTGATGATTTAAAAAATGTACCAACATGGCCAAAAATATATTTAGAAACAACTAAAACGCCTTCATTTTCAAATCTCATAGCAGCAATAAATGGAGATGAAGGTCATTCTGAGGATTATTTCGATCATATGTTGCATAGGTGGGTAGTAAATTTATTGTAAAACCTACATTTCAAAGGCCGGTAAATGTTGATATCTGTAACTTCAGATTTATGTCACAGAGAATGATTATTTTATGAGTAGTTTACCACCTATAACAGCCACATGGTCAAGTGAAATTAAAAGTAAAAAAGAACAACCTACTGGTATAAGATACAATATTAAAAGTCATTTAAATTATAAACAAGAAGCATACTGCTATGATTTGTGGATGCTTATGTGGCTTCGTTTCTATCTGGTATTGGGCTTAATCATTTAAATTTTGATAAAAGCAGAATTATACAAAGCCTTGTTAAATACCATTTATATTATCAGATTAAAAAATTTATGAAGCACCCATCGTTATTAGATAAATATGACTTTACGGAATTGAAAAAGCATATACCTTATAAAGGTATTTTAAAATTTGATAAAAACAATGATGGTTATTATGTTAATTTTCAATATTCGACTACTGATTATCGTAGCTTCATTGCATATCATTCTGAAGGGATTACATTAATCGGAAAAATTCTTTTACAAGAGTCTATTGAAAGCTTTGTTTATACAATTCTTGGAGCTCAAGCAAATACAAGATGGTCAATAGTTAATCATGGAGCTAAGAGCATGCAAACACAAAACGTTTTTAGGAAATTATTAGAGGATACTATAGTACAGAATGATACGACTGTATTTATATCTAACATGAGAAAGGCTATAAAAGATACAAATGTTATTTTAAATATGGCAATCAGTCCTGGTATGATTTTAATACCCAGCCGTATGATAATATTAAATAAAAAGATTAATGGGTATAATAATATTTTAACATTAGCTAATAAAACTATGAAATTCGGTATTAATTCTAAAATAAATTATTATGGAGTTAAAAAGGAAGAACCTAAAAAAGTACATCAAGATAATACACCATCACAACACCTAGATACTCTAGATGAAGTTCATAAAAAACCAGTAGTACATAAACATACAAAAATGATAGTAAATAATCCTCATCAAACAGATATGATTGCTTTACTCAGTATCGCTATCATCATTCATATATTAGTTAAATATGTTTTATAATATAATATGAAAAAAGTTCTAGATTTTAATCATATTTCGAGTGAGTTGAGTCAAGATGAATTTCAAAAGCTGAAAAAGTTGTATTTGTACTATCACAAAATGTATACCTGTTATAAATGGAAGTATAATAAATTAAAGAAAATTAGACTATCATTAAACATGGGAAGTATTTTTCTAGTCTCGACTGGTGGTATTGTTGGTAGTATAACTGTCAACCCGATAGTTATATACCTCCTGAGTGGTTTAGGGGCTTTAATTCAAGGTTATATGGTTAAGAGTAAGATTAATAATAACTTAGAAATGTAAATTTGCATATACATCATATGAAAAATACTTATGACTATAAGATCTTATTTAAGAGGATTACCTTATGATGAAGTGATATTTCTTTCAGACATAAAAGTTATCGATGATATTATAATTGACTCTTTGTCCCCATAGATGGTATGGTGAGTAAATATAACAAAAAATATAAATGATCTGTGAGTTATCTGTAAGTTATCTATGATTATCTATGAGTTATCTGTGAACAAAATCTACAGTATTATATAACATGTCTGAAGAAAATCTAAAATTACTACAGTTAAGAAAGAGAAAGACCCTATTAGAGTCGAAGCTGGTAAACGCTTAGCTGCTATATCGAAAGCTTCTAAAGAAAAAAAGATGCGAGATAGAATTGAATTAGAAAATAAAAAGAAAATTGAGGATAATAGCTGGAATATTAATTATGGATTCTTATTTGGAACTATTGGAGTATTAACTGCTATTGCTAGTCTCTATTATACAAGGAAAAATGATAAAAGGCAGGAAAAATTAACAAACGATAAAGGAAAGAAGAAACAACTAGTGAAAACATGTTTTGATACAAAAATAAACAATATAATTTAGACTCATTTGAATAAAATATTTCCTATTATATATGAATAAGAAACAATTTATGAATGAAGCTTTTGATTCAGTGCTTGTGACAACAACTGCTGTAGGTCTTTCTATGGCGTCTAAAAAACTTCTAGGTCAAAAATTAACAGACACAAACAGTATCAAAGATTTTGTTAAACTAGTTATTTCTGTTACAACATCAACAATGCTAGTTAAATATGCTCAAGACAAAAAATGGGTCCCTGAAAATCCATTTAAATCTGCATAAATATATATGACAAGTTTTATTACTAGTGGGTAGGAACAGCTTTTGGTGCTGTTGTTAATGGCCTAGGATTTAGTCTAGCAGGCTGGCTATTTCATAAACTTGATAAAAAATGGTTACACTGAGGAAATGAAAAAGATACCATGATTCTTAGTAAAACTACAAAGCTAAAGAGGCATTCTATGAAAATGAAGTCAACAGCATGATAAAATACAACAGCTAAGACAAGAACCACATGCTATGCTAATGATGATATAGAATTGACAAACAAAGCTTTAGATGCGCTTAGAAAAGTAAAAACGATACATTACAACGGGTTAACATTTCATAGAGAACCGCAATTAAATAACTTTTACAAACCATCTAAGAATATGAAAAATTATCAATCTGGTACAATGGTTGTTATTGGTATTATATCTGGATATTTATTATATAAAATTACTTAAAAATAAATATATAGTATTAGTATATATGTATTGTAATAATTTGTTCATAAAGAGTTAGAAGAGTTTTCGGTTATGTAAATTGTTGCTTTTGTGATAAAAAGATATGTGATAGTTATATTAATAGATCTGCTTAAAACATACTTATGTTGTGAAAATCAAGAAATTATTTCAGATAATACAAAGAATGTTTGTAAGAACTGTGGTTCTGTTCACTCATATAAGATAGTTAATGAATGGATACCAGAAATTTGGAAATGTCAAAATCAGTTCATTCAAGGAGAAAATGGTTTTATAATAAATTAGATGTGTGTAACTTTTGAATATGTTGAAATGATTACAAATGATTTTATAAAGGTTGTTAGTACTATGATTAAACACAAATTAATTAATAAGAAAAATGTTAGTATGTATAATTATTATATAATACGTTTAGCCAGCCGGAGGGGTATACCATTAAAACACCCTGTTATAGATATGAAAAATAGTAAGACAAAGAGGATTTTTGATGATAGATTATTTGGTGAAGTATATAAAATTCTCGAGTGGGATAAAGATATCGACTGTACTTATTTTAAAAATTGGATAGAGTCAAAGAAATAAAAAATTTACTATTATATATGAATCTTAAAAATCTATTAAAAAAGATTAGAAATTTTATTCTATGTTGTAAAAAAACTAGTGCTAATATAGAAGGTGTTTTAAAGGATTTTGAAAAAACATTGTATAAAACAAAAGATAATTTAAACGCACCTTAAAAAAATAAAATATATAGTATATGTTCTAACCTAGCCAAGAATTTATACTAAAGAACAAATCAAAACAACATAGGACAATATATATGCTCTCAAAACCATGGCATTGTGATTTATGTAATAAAACATATAGTTTAGCATATAAAACTTTACATACATCTTTAAAACTAAAAAACATTTAATAAATTCAAAATTAGTGCGTTTAACAAAAAAATTTAAATATATAAAAATTATATATGATAGAAAATATAAAAATAATAATGAAATTTTAGTCTAGTGTATTTGGAGCCATGGGATTTTCGAATGGTTGATAAAGATTTATATTCTAAATTTAGTTTTTTATATACATAGATTCTTTACCAACAAAATTATTACATTATCCACCTGATTCTACAGGATATAAAAATGTAAAGATCTCCCAACATTTATACATACACCACTTTATAAAAAGCAAATAAACGTCAATTAAAATTAGTTGAACATCATAAACATTTAAGGTTATTAATATTTAAAACTAATGATCATAAACAAGAACTTCACTACTATTATAATACAAATGAAAGAAGCTCTTGATAATAAAATTATTAGAGAAAAATTAAACAAAGTGATCTGGATACATGAGAAGGGTTTCAATCCATGGGAGGTCGGTCTAAGACCCGGTATGTTACCTAATACAATAAAAACTGAAGCTAAGTTAAGAGAATATTTACAAATATTAAAAACAAAAAAAGTTAAATAGATTAATTTAATTATTTTATAAAAGTTTTAAATATAGATTTATTTCTATAATTAAAATTAGTGCGTTTAAAAAATAAAAATAAAATATATAGTATATATATGAATAAAGATAAAACAAAACATATAGTACTTAAAGACAAACCTATTTTATATAGTATGCCTAATATGAATAGAGATGAACTTCAAAATTTGACTAAAGACACTTTGAATTAATTTAATATTAAATCAAAGCCGTGGGTTAAGTTAATAAACTTAATTTCAAACCAGTACAAAAGTACTATCACAACCAATATCAAAAATGAATGTAAAACAGTTAAAAATTATTGCTAAAGAAAACAAGGTTAAAGTTATTACAAACTTAGAAAACGAATTAATCAAAAAAAAAAAAAATGAATGTAAAACAGTTAAAATTATTGCTAAAGAAAACAAGGTTAAAGGTTATTATAAACTTAGAAAAACAGAATTAATCAAAGTAACAATTCAGTCCCAAAACCAGGAAAGAGTGTAAAAGAGATGCTATCTGATAAAAAATAAAACCAATACCAACACCAAGAGTTAAAATAAGAGAAACAAACAATGCTATAAAAGGATACACTAAATCATATGAAATAAGCATTATTAACAATAAAGCACCATTAATATAAAATGCAAAGCACAAGAAAGTATCTTACATATTATATTAAAGAAATATTAACAACAATGAAAGGATTAAAATTTTGTTGAAACGCTTAAGGTAATATTTGAAAATTTGAAATAAAAGATGGTGGTACAGCTGGTTTTTAACAAAAGTTGCTTATTTTAACAGTCAAGCTTTAACAATTACAAATAATGAAAATATTACTGAATCACTACAAATTTCAAAACAAAATATATTAAATAAGATTGATAAATTTACACAAGAAGGTTCTGGATGGGTTATTCGCTCTATAGATAATCATTATCTTAATGTTGTTAAATACAAGCCATTACAAGGGTCTTCATACATTAATTTACCTCAAGAACTTAAAACCCTAAAAAGGTTTGATAAATATCAAAACCAAGATAATGAATGTTTTAGGTGGTGCCATATTAGACATATTAACCCACAAAATAAAGACCCACAAAGAATAAAAAATCTGATAAGGAATATATTGAAAAGCTTAATTATGAAGGGTTGATTTTCCAGTGACTGTTAAACATTATAATAAAATCGAAAAGCAAAACAAAATTAACATTAATGTCTTCGGTTATGAAGATAAACAACCATATCCATTATTCATATCAAAAGAACAATTTGAAGACCATATGGAACTACTATTGATAACTGATAATGAAAACAAACATTATGTATTAATAAAAGATTTTAATAAATTTATGTACAATCAAACAAAGCATAAAGAAAGAAAACACTTTTGTATGCGCTGTCTTCAATGTTTTAGTTCTGAAAAATATTAAATAACCATATAGAAAACTGTATATTAATAAATGGTATACAATCAATAAAAATGCCTGATAAAAATAATAACATACTTAAATTCAACAACTATCATAAGCAACAACCAGTACCATTTGTTATATATGCTGATTTTGAGGCTATTACAGAAAAGATATCTGGTTGTAATCAAAATAATAAAATCATATACAGAAGCCTATCAGAAACATACTGACTGTGGTTATGGATATAAAGTTGTTTGTTGTTATGATGATAAATTCACTAAACCAATTCAACTATATAGAGGTGAAAAGGCTGTTTACAAATTTATGGAAGCTATGTTAAAAGAAGTTAAATATTGTAAAAATATTATGAAAACCACTTTAATAAACCATTAAAATGACCTCTGATGATGAAGAAGAATTTAAAAAGCTGATGAATGTCATATCTGTAACAAAAATATACTAACAAAGATATTCGAGTTCGAGACCATTGTCATATCACTGGAAATACAGAGGCTCAGCACATCAAGATTGTAATTTAAAACTTAGAATAGACTCTGATAAATTAAAGATCCCAGTAATATTTCACAATCTGCGTGGATATGATAGCCATTTTATTATGCAAGAAATCGGAGCTATTGTTAATAAGCATACATACAAAAACAAAAAAGGTGAGGAAACGCAGATGAATATAAATGCTATACCTAATAACATGGAAAAATATATGGCTTTCATGTTAGGTAACCATTTAACATTTCTTGATAGTTTTCAATTTATGAGCTCTAGTCTTGAAAAGCTTGTTAGTAACCTACCTAAAGAATCATTTAAATATACCTCTAATCAGTTTCAAGGTGAAAAACTTAATTTAATGACTAAAAAAGGTATATACCCATATGATTATATGGATAGCTTTGAAAAGTTTGATGAGGGGTTGCCTTCAAAAAAAGACTTTTATAGTATTCTTACTGATGAAAATATATCAGATGATTCTTATAACCATGCACAAAATGTGGAATACATTCAATCTCAAAACATGGGTGATTATCACGACCTGTATCTGAAATCAGATGTTTTGTTATTAGCTGATGTATTTGAAAACTTTCGAAAAACATGCTTAGAATACTATAATTTAGACCCATGCCACTATTTTACAGTCCTGGTTTTCTTGGGATGCTATGTTAAAGATGACAGATATTAAATTAGAACTAATGACTGATATTGACATGTTTCAATTCATTGAAAAGGGTATGAGAGGAGGTGTTTCTTATATTTCTAATCGATATGGTAAGGCTAATAACAAGTATATGAAAACATTTGATAAGAATAAACCCTCAAAATATATAATGTATCTTGACGCTAACAATTTATATGGATGGGCTATGTCACAATACTTACCTACTGGTGGTTTCAAATGGTTAACTGAGAAACAGATTAACAACATAAACCTTGCTAAATATCAAGCAGATAGTAAAAAGGTTTAATTTTAGAAGTTGATTTAGAATACCCTGAAGAACTACATGATTTACATAACGATTATCCTGTTGCACCAGAAAAGTTAAAGTAACTAGTGATATGTTGTCAAAATATTGTAAGACAATTGCTTCTAATTATAATATATCAACAGGTTTAGTTAATAAGTTAATTCCTACTTTAAAAAATAAAGAGAAGTATGTGCTACATTATAGAAATCTTCAATTATACTTAGATCTTGGGTTAAAATTAACTAAAGTACATAGAGTACTTGAATTTAATCAATCTCCATGGTTAAAAAAATACATAGACTTTAATACTCAAAAAAGAACTAATGCAAAAAATTCTTTTGAAAAAGACTTCTTCAAACTCATGAATAACAGTGTTTTGGTAAGACGATGGAAAACTTACGAAAAGAGTAGATGTTAGACTAGTAACTAATAAAATAAATTATTAAAATTAGCTTCAAAACCTACTTATGTAAGTAGTAAAATCTTCAATGAGAACCTTGTGGCTGTGCATAAGATCAAAGAAACACTAACCCTTAACAGGCCGGCATATGTGGGTATGTGTATCTTAGATTTATCTAAAACGTTGATGTATGATTTTCATTACAATTATATCAAGAATAAATATGGTGATAAAGCTAAACTTCTTTTCACAGACACAGATAGTCTAACATATGAAATCGAAACTGAAGATGTCTATAAAGATTTTGGGTTGATAAAGATAAATTTGATTTTAGTGATTACCCAGAATACCATAAATATCATGATAAAACTAATAAAAAAGTTATTGGTAAAATGAAAGATGAAGCTGCTGGAATAGTAGTTAAAGAATTTGTTGGTTTAAGAAGTAAGATGTATAGTTATATTAAAGATAATAATAAAGGAGATAAAAAGCTAAAGGAATTAAGAAAAATATTATTAAAAACAAAATAAAACATGAAGACTATAAACAAACACTATTTGAAAATAAACAAATACATCATACAATGAAAACTATTAGAAGTGTAAACCATCAACTTAGTAGTTATGAAATTAATAAAGTATCACTTAGCTGTTTTGATGATAAACGGTATATATTAGATGATGGTATAACTACTAGAGCTTATGGTCATTATTTAAATGATAATTAAAACTTATTTTAATATACAGTTATAATGTGTAGTAAGCATGTAGCGTGGGCCTCTGTTAGAGTAAAATCATACATACCTGCTCCTCATGTTTGACTACATATCACATAACTGTTTGTAATAAGTAATTAATACAAAAAGATTCAAAATCCTGAAACAATTATTAAAAACACTTTTAACAAAAATTATATGACACTCGCTTGACAGACAAATTAAAAAAACATATAGATTCCATATTTTGTACAACATTGTATTATTATACATGCGCTGATGAAATGTGCTATTACATTAAACAACCATTGTTGAAAACATGCACTAAGACACGCGACAGACTAAATTAAAAAACATATAGATTCCATATTTTGTAAAACATTGTATTATTATACATGCGCTGATGAAATGTGCGATTACATTAAACAACCATTGTTAAGAACATGCACTAAGACACGCCCTTGACAGACAAATTAAAAAACATATAGATTCCATATTTTTGTAAAACATTGTTATTATACATGCGCTGATGAAATGTGCTGATTACATTAAACAACCATTATTAAGAACATGCACTAAGACACGCGCTGCTACTGATATTTTAATAACTTGATTATTAAAGACTTGGTTTTTTTGAAGAGCATTTTTAAGCCTCTGTTATTCTCGAATATTCTTCGAATATTCTTCGAATCTAGGGGACGCTCCGAATTTTCACTTCGTGAAAATTTTCCCCCTCGTCGCTTAAATTCTCGGGGCTCCATTCCCCTGCTCGAGCATTTCATGCTCTGCGCTGCCGAGCCCTCTCGAAACAATGCTTATAAAGACTGTTTATAAAATTTAAACGCACCTATATATTTCAAAAACATATAGATTCCATATTTTGAAACGATAGATTGTAACCTCGAGATTTTTACCCTTTGAAACAATGACCATTTTTACACAGCTTTTACATGACCTTTTACCAGAGGGACGTCTTTGAACCATGGTCTTATTTTAAGCTGTTATAAA